AAAACTCTGTCGGCATCTATGCTTGCCAGACATTCATTTTGTTCTCTCATATTTAGCGCGCGCACCGGGAGCGAGCTCACTGGTCCAAAGCACACACGTTGGGAGTGAAGAGCCCTGCGCTGCAGTCATCACTCAGGCACAGATTGATAGTGGGTGCGTGATGGCCACCCCCCCTCTCTGGGCCGGGCTTTCTCTTTCTGTATAAAGGGTGTATGTACCTCTTTCTCCCCTCCCGCCTGACCGTGACATGGATGTATAAAAAAATAAAAGACAGAAAAGCAAACACCCTCTTTTCCTCACACAACCATGGGAGGGGATGCAGCGGGCGGGGGAGTAAGTGAGGAGGGAGGCGTGGGGGGAGAATCTTAAGGTTCCAGAAGTGATTCTCATGTGCTAGCAGACTTGAGAACCTCTGCTAGGTGCTGGCCTAGAAGGGAGGGGGGTGGGGGAGGGAGGGAGGGAGGGAGAGAGAGAGAGAGAGAGAGAGAGAGAGAGAGAGAGAGAGAGAAGGGAAACTAATATAGGGTTGAAATGATGGGGTGATAACAGAGGAGCAAACAGGAGAGAAGGGAAATGGAGAGACCAGGGAGAGTGTAGGTGGATGGAAAGTGGGGAGGAGAAGCGTGGGGAGAGGGAAGAATATTCAGGGGGGAGGAAGCCAGCGGTGAAAGAAGCGTATGGGACTCACGCTCAAGCCTCTCCTTCCTCTCGTCATGAAAGCCCAGAGGAGGGCTCAGTCTCTGGCGCCCGTAGTGACAACCCGGCCCGCTCGGCTCTAGGAGTTACTTGCTCACATTCTCTCCTCCTGGGGCTCCTTCCCGGAAACATCCCTTAAAGGGCTCCGAGCCCCATATCTGCCTGCTCCCTCTGGACTCTCACCTCCTGTCAGGGGCTCCCCGCCCCTCTCCCGATCCGCAAACTGGCTAAGGATGGTCAGCTGTTACTCCCGAGGGCCCTTGTGGCCCATGCATCCTCCGTCGCCGGGCAAGTGGGTGGTGATGGGCAAACAGAAGGCACAAGCAGTTTCCTTCTCCAGGTCTCTTTTCCTCAAAATGACTTCTGTGTTCACCCAGTTAATGTCACTTTCAACACCCTCTTCCTCTAACGTCATCTCCTTTTTCTTCTCATCTTTCTCTCCTTTCAAAGCCCAAACCCCACCCACAGACCCTCCGGTGGATCAACCACAGACCCCTGCCCCTTCATCCCAAGAAAACGGACCTTGGTGGCTCCCCAGCCCTCTCCCCTCAGCACCGAGCTACTGATTCCGGCCTTCATGCGCCTGTTTATTTCCCCGAAGCCCAACAAAAGCAACTTCATTAAGCAAACCGCATACTCGGCTGAGCTGGAAGCAGCCAGGCAGCAGCAGGAGCAGGAGCTGCTTAACGGGGCCTGTGGGCCAGGCCGGCTGCGCCAGGGCCCCCTCACCTGCCCTCTTCCTTCCAGCCCAAGGCCCTGCTCAGGACCCTCCCCTCCCCAGCCCCTCCCTTCTCTGCGTCTTCCTCCCTCTCCTGCAGCTCCAGCTGAACCACAGGGCAAGGGGAGGGGTGCAGGGGGTGGTATCAGGAGCCTCCCTGGGACTTGGTCAGTCCAGAGAGAGGGGACATGAAGGCCATTTTTCTGAGATAGTCCCTACCCACATTGGCAGTGACCTTCCAGACTGGCCCGTGTCCCCCAGACCCCCAGCCCCCAGACTGGGAGAAGGAAGCGTGCCTTTGAACCAAGCGTTAGATCCTGCCGCTTCTCTGAGCCCGAGCCTCTGTCCATACAGCAGAGGACACGTTGCAGCCTCTGGGGTTGTAGCAAAGACTAAATGAATGAATGCACCTAAAGCATAATAAAAAGTTCTCTGTCGATGGCAGCTGTTGTTACTATTACCATCATGATTATTTCTCTCTAGCCTGCTGAGCAGTCTGAATCAATGGGGTATAAAAATGAAACAAAATTTAAAAGTCCCTGCCTTCCACTGCTCCCCCGTGATGCCATGGCTCAGTGCAGTTTGAGTAGACCTCGGGGTTTTCTGGTCATTTTCCGTTATTCAAAGTCAAGCTCAGAAGGGTTTACTACTCCAATCTGTCATCCTCTTTCCGCCTGGTCTTCTCCCGTTTCTCAGGCCTGTGGCCCGAGACAGAGTGGGTCAGGGATGCCTGCTCAGGTCCTCCACATCTCCTCCCATTCCAGCTGGGTGGTTGGAATGAGATGAGATTCCAGATGTGAACCTTGCCCCTGTGTAGACTGGGCCAATGTGAGGGGCCAGCTTACCTGGGATCCCTCCAGGTCCCCACACCCCTCCTGTCGTGTCCACCCAAGGCCACAGCCATCCCTCTCTCCTCAGATCTTCCGGTGGCCGGTGGCCAGCAGCATCGACAACAATGAGGTGCTCGAGATTCAGATCTTCAACTACAGCAAAGTCTTCAGCAACAAGTAAGCGTGGGGTGGGAGGGGAGGTGGGCCGAAGGGGCTGGGGGCCTGCCTGCTCCTTGGGCTGCCTTCTCCTTTGGGTTTAAAGGGGGACCCACACCCATAGCCTACCCTAGATTGATCTTCTGCTCCCCCATGTTGTCCTCAGAGTCCCCCAGCCCTCCATTGTCGGTCTAGAACACCTCAGCCTCCTGTTGGCCCCGTCTGTCCCCAGTGCTTCCTGTCCCCGTCTTTAAGTCTCCCCCCTACACCATACTGGGCGACAGTTATCCATCCAAGAGGTAATGTCATGGCTGATAATATCCTCCAATAGACCATCTATAGCCTTGAGGACAAACTTGCCTCACCGTGGAAGACGAGAGCTCTGAGGCAGCGAAGTCTGATGGTTGAGGAGTCGGGCAAACCTGATCTCGGGTCCCAGCTCAGCCATCTGCTGTGTGGGCCTGGGCGGGTTACATAATCTCTCCGAGTTCAGTACACTCCTGTCTGAAAAGGACAAGTACTTACCTCAAAGGGAAGCTGTGAGAACTAAATGAGATAGATGTCTGTTCCTCATTCAGTCCCCCAAATGTTTACTGAGTGCCTACTGTGTGTCAGGCACAGAACCAGGTGCTGGGGATAGGGAGGCGCCTATCCGCAGGGAGCTTACGTTCTGCCATGAAGCGCACCTACCACGTGAGCATGGTCACTACTAGAGGTTCAGTCAAGGTTCCTGTCCTTCTCTTTGGGCGACAAGCAGAATTCGGAATGACTCGAACAGTCTGGAATGATGGCTAAATATCATAAATACCAATTCCTACCTTGGGTTCAAAAACCAATTGCTCTAGGCTTACTAAACAGCAAATCCACACCCACTGCTTGGGGTGGTGTCTGGCACCCAGGAAGCCCCTCTACCTTTGTCTGAGTGAACAAATACATGTCTCCGTGGGTCAGAGGGTGCCCTGGGTGGGGGGGATCTGGGAACAGGAACCAGAAGACTTGAGGGCACCCCAGGAGAGAGCTAGTCACATGACTGATGCATTTGGGAGAAACATGAAATGGTGTGAGAAATGGGACCTATTTGTCCTGGAAGTGGAGGGCGGCTTGGAAACTGGTCCCTCACTGCCCAGTGGTTCCAGGGGCTGCAGGGAGGAGGGAGAAATTGTCCGAGTCAGGGAGCAGGAGACCCCTGGTCCGCTTGGCCCTGCCTTCAGGAACCTTGGACTTCCCGGTGAGGATGAGTGTTGGGTCCAGAGGGTCTTGTGCTTCCCTCTGCCTGTCCAGGACCCTTGGCAGGTGTGTGAGTGTGTGTGTGTGTATGTGTGTGTGTGTGTGTGCGCGAGCGCGCACGCGTGTGTGTGGCCTGACCCAGGCACCGGTCTCCTGAGGCTCCTGAATAATGCAGGAGCCAGGACAGCAGTGGAGGCCTGGCCGCCTCGGGCACCTGACACCAGGTCCCGGGGGAAAGTGATGAATTATTGACAGGTCCTGGTGCCTGGTTGCAGCTCCACTGTGGTCAGTCTGCAGGCTGTCTGCGCTGAGCCCCACTTCCTGCTGCCTAAGCACCTGGGAATCCTCCCTGGGGCCAGTCCGGCCTCCGGGGCAGCTGTGGGGGGTGCCCCCTCTGTGATGGGTAATCTGGACGGGCCCCATAGGGGAGGTTGTCAGAGGACAGGAGGTTGGGTCCCAGCCCCTTCACCTAAAAGCCTGGGGGAAATGGAGGCCTGGAGAGGGCCCTGGCCCAGGTCACACAGCACGGTCAGGGCAGAGCCAGGTCTTCAACCTGTTGACCCCAGGTCAGTGCTCCTTGCCCCAGAGCAAAGGGGCTCCACCTCCACTTTCCAGGGGCACTTAAGCCCATCCTTCCTCCATTACCCTGGGCCCCAGCCTCCCAGGCAGCTGCTCCACGTTGACCCACCCAGAGGAGCAGAGGCAAAAGGCAGACCCCACTGAGCCTGCCGCCCAGCTGGGCAAGGGCAGCTGGGGTGGGAGGGCTTGCCTGGGGGGTCAGCATGCACTCCAAAGTCAGGGCTTCCTTCCGTCTATAGAGGGGGGCTGAAGGGCCTCATTCTTTTGGAAGCAGTATTAAGGATTAAGGCACTCATGGAAGCTGTGTTTTTATAGCAAGCATTGCTTTTGCTTAGATCAGTGATGGCGAACCTATGACATGCGTGTCAGAGGTGACACGCGAACTCATTTTTTTGGTTGATTTTTCTTTGTTAAAGGGCATTTAAATATATAAAATAAATATCAAAATATGTCTTTGTTTTACTATGGTTGCAAATATCAAAAAGTTTCTATATGTGACACGGCACCTGAGTTAAGTTAGGGTTTTTCAAAATGCTGACACGCCGAGCTCAAAAGGTTCGCCATCACTGGCTTAGATGGTACGTTACAGACCTGTAGGAAGAGCCAACTTTTATAAAAATGCTTTTCTTCATACTTTCCATAAGACGAAGACAATATCTATTGTCCATGTCAAAGAGTATTATTTTCTATTTTTGTTTGAGGGAGATCGGGGGGGTTGGGGGGGTGACTGTCAGGAGTTAAAGTCCCCCCGTGGGTCTGTGACAAGCCAATTCCTTTGGCCATGCTGGCTCCCCGTGACCCAGCCCCACCCTCCCGTTGGGGCCCAGCTCTGTGAGGCTGTGCATCTGCCCCCAAAGCCCATCCTGCGAAGGAGACCAGCCCTGCACGAGCCGTCCAGATAGCACCCCCCCTGCACACTGAGGGGAGAGGGGCCACATCTGAGCATGCAGCGTCAGAGGAGTTTCGCTTGGGTGTTCTCACCACCGCACAGGGAAGCGAGGGCATCACCTTCTTTGGGGCGATGGGGAAAGCGAGGCTCAGAGAGGTCGGAAAACTAGCCGAAGTCACACAGCTGCCAGGTGGCGGAATCCCCCTTAGACACCACCTCTGTCTGACTTCAGAGCCCGGCTCTTTACGCTGCCATCTACACTGCCTCCCCCTGGGGTTGGCATTTAGTCTGTGTGTGCACAGGGCTTGGGCCAGGGCATGAGGAGCGGGGAGGGCGGGAGTTTGCCAGAAGGCAGACCTTGGCTGACGGTGTGATTAAAGCCGTAAGCGTAGCTGTGGGGCAGTGAGCTCCCGTTAGGGGAGTCAGGCAGGGGCTTGAGAACGTGTCATTGAGGGTGTTTGAGTGACTTTTTCTTACTAAAATGCTGGACACGCTCTCCTCCAGGCCGCTCCCAAGTCTAAAGGTCTGAGACGCTAACCTTAGCTAGGCCTGGAAGGCGCCAGAGCTTCTCTGAGCACTTGTGGGGAATAGCTCCATCCTGCCCCCTGGGGGTGTCTTGCCGCCTTGCAGCTTCTCTGCTTGTCCTTGGGCCTTCCTCTGCCTTCTGGGGCACCTGCCTGGGAAGGATGTCCCTGAGTGCACCCCCTTCATGGGGTGCTAACCGGCTCCTAGTGGAACAAAAAGCCTGAAGTTCCAGTCAGCAAAGGGCAGCAGAACAAATTCTCAGTGTGCCCCTGCCACCTCCCGGCAGCCAGCATCATCAGCATCAGAAACTTGTCAGAAACACGCATTCTCTGGCCCCATCTGCTGAATCAGATGCCCTGGGGCGGGGCGGGGCCGGAGCTGAGCTGGAGCTGGAGCAGGTGTGCTGGGTGCAAGCCTCTCCCAACTCCAAGTTCAAGTTCAGTGACTTCCCCTGGGAAGCCAGAAATTGGCCATCGGGGGTGTGTGTACACCAGGAAGGTGCAAAAGCTACAGGTCAGGCCTGCCTTTCCCCTCCCCCAGCCAGTCATCAAACATTGGCCGGTGCAACCGGGTGTGGGTGGGTCCCGGTATTTTGTGTTTTAACAGGTCCTCCAGGTGACCCTTCCCGTTGAAGTTTGAACCACTGAGTTAGAACCGAAAGAGGGGGCTGCAAGAAGACCAGGGTGTTCTTTCATGCCTGTGGTCTGTTAGAACGTCCACACAGTAAGGGAGCTGGAACCCCCTCCCTCACTTTATAAAGACAAAATTGAACTGGGGGTGGGGGGCATGGGTCCAGGTCTGTGAGCCCAGGCCAGCCCTGGTCTCTGTGCACTGCCCGAGCTGGAGACAGGCCAGGATGCTGTGAGGGAAGAAGGCTTAAGGTGGAACGAGGTTGGAGAAGCTCCTAGAAGCCTACTCAGGCTCAGAGGGGAGGAATGGTACGGACAGTTCTGCCCTCAGGGAGGGAGGCAGGCTGGCAGGTGGGACTCTGAGCTCCAGAGGGAAGCATTTCATATGCATCCAATGTGGCTGCTCCCGCCATGGACTCCCTGCCTGTTAAGTGGGAATTCACTCAATACCTCCCCTCACCTGGATCTGCCATTGATTAGCTATGTAACTTCCTGTTTTCTCTTCCTCACCTTCCTCCTCTATAAACCAAGGGCAGCACCAGATGGCCCCCAGCCTCCCTGCCCCCAGCTCTCACACACTGTGGATGCCCCCCTTGGTGTCTGTCCCTCAACAGAAGGGCTGTGTATGTGTTCATCCACCTGTGGAGTCTCCTGTGGGGACAGCTCTCTGAGTCTCTTCTCCCAGAGCAACACCTCCAAACCACAGGGTGGAATGGGGTTTGAGTCAACTCAGCATTCATTGGGCACCCACTGTGTTCGTTAATGCAGCCAGCAGATGCTGGGATCTCTGATGTGCTGGAAATGCCAAATAGAGGCTGAAACAGGGACCCAACCCTGTCCTGGAGACACTCACAGGAACACCCCCCAACCCTGCACCCCTCTACCACCAGGCTGCTTTCTGAGCGCTGTGTGCTCCGAGCTCTGATGAGGGCTTGGCACAGAGGGTCTCAGCTGGTCCTATAAAGGACACCTCAGATGTGCTGGGTGAGAGAACTGGGACTGAGGGCCCAAGTAAACTGCCTGGGAAGCAGGCAACTTGCCCGTGAGTGTCAGAGCTGGGCTTCCAATCCGTCAAAAGCCTCCGACTCCAAGACTGTGCTGCTCAGCGCTGGCTGCCTCTCCCTGGGAGTGTGGGGATCCCGCCGTCGCATGGTCCTCACCCTCGAGGAGCTTGCAGCATGCCCACCGGTGGGCATCACACTGACAAACAGGGATGCATGAGCCAGCGGTCACGGTTAGGGAGGCTGAACGTGGAGGAGCTGCTCACGGATCCAGTCCTTCCCCAGCAGCCTCTGCGCTGGGCATCTGGATACTGCTCTTCAGGGGCTCAGTGGAACCCCAAGTCCACGTACCCGGAGAACAGAAGGCTGCACCGTTCCACCCTGTCTCCTTGGTCTGTGAACATCCCCCTGGGTGCTCACTGCCCTCGAGCACTCCCGGGAAAATGGGTCTCACACATACACCACACACAGTTGTCGGGGGTCACATGTCCTCCTGGCCATGCCACCCTGGCTGTGGGGCCACCCTCCACAGCCCCGGCCTGAACAAGCCCTCCCTCTCTCCAGCCCGCTCTCCCCTTCCCTGCCCCTCACAGCCTCTGGGGCTGTCCCTCCTCACTCTGGCCTCTCCCCCTGAAGCCCATGCCCCTGTGTCCACAGGCTCATCGGGACCTTCCGCATGGTGCTGCAGAAGGTGGTAGAGGAGAACCACGTGGAGGTGACCGACACGCTGATTGATGACAACAACGCTATCATCAAGGTGGGTGGCCCAGAGAGCACCTGGACTTGCCCACTGCGGGGTCACCGAGGGCCTGTTCACCTCCTCCCCACACACAGAGTGGCTCGGGGTGGGGCGTCCTCATGGATGGAGCGTGAGACAGGAGGAGGTGACTCGGGTCAGCCGATTTCAGGGAGGCCACCCTCATCCCTCCAGGCAGCCCTGGTTCGGAGGACCAGAGGGTGACCTGCTCCCTGAGACGCTGGATGACGCTCTTGACTATGTGCACAGTGGGCTCAGGGAGTCCACCCCCAATCCAAGCTCAACTCGCCAGGGCGGGCCCTGACCTTGGGCACCGGGAGGAATAGAGCCAAGAGCTGGAGCCTATTAGGTTGGCTGACTATGAATGTCCATCTTTCTGAGCCTCTGTTTTCCCATCTGCAAAATGGGAGATGGAGAAGGATGGCACCCAGCTTGCCTTCCTCCACTGAGCTAAGCGGGGGAAAGCGCTTTGCAAACATCACAAAGCCGCCACGTGTGTGGGATTATGGTTGCTGCTGCCGTCTGCGCTGCTCACCAGCCCTCTCTCTCCCTCCAGACCAGCCTGTGCGTGGAGGTCCGGTATCAGGACACAGACGGCACTGTGGGCTCCTGGGATGACGGGGACTTCCTGGGAGACGAGTCCCTTCAGGAGGAAGAGAAGGACAGCCAGGAGACGGATGGGCTGCTCCCCGGCTCCCGCCTCAGCTCCCGGCCACCGGGCGAGAAGAGCTTCCGGAGGTAACAGGCTGGGACCGCTGGCTGCCCACTGCCCCCCAAGACACGGAGTGGATGCCTAGGCCCCCAGGAGGCCCCCGTAGGCCTGACTGAGCCCAGGGAACAGGCTGAGGTGCTCAAAAGGCATAGCAGAGGGAGAAAGGTGTTGCTGCAGCATCCCCACCCCAGGCCCCTATTCCAGAACTCACAGCGGAGGAGTAGGGTGGCTCCTGCCCCTCAGAGAAGGGGGAGGCCTGGTCTCTCTGTTCAAGGCCGCCTGGCCTCCGCCCTGGCCAGTGACAGCCCAGCAAGGTGGCCTCTTCCTGCCAGAGTGAAACAGAGGTCCCGATTGGGACCCAGCCTCTCTCCTCTCTTCTGTTGAGAACACATCCCAGCACCCTTGGTGTCCAGAACTCATGCCTGCAAACTTCTTGCTGACAGGAAGCTGTGTCCAGGCCTGTGCTTCCCAAATGCACGATTTTTACCAAAAAAAAAAGGGGGGGGAGCACAATTGTACTACGCTTAGAGCCCAGACAGGCAGAATCTGGGCTAGTAAAACATTGTCCAGAGGCTCCTAGGTCACCGGCGATGATGTGTGAAATGCAGGTAAGTGGAGGGCGCATGGAGGGATGGGTGGGTTTTGAGAGGAGATGCCTCCCTCCCATTGCAATCATCTCCAATCTCCTTCCACCCTTTCCTTTCCAAGTAAATGTATTCAGTCCCTGTTCCGAAAAGAACACACATTAATGGAACTGAATTTGATATTTTTATCAGACAAATGTTTTTCTTCTTTGCACTTGAACCACTCTCCCCCCCCCCCCCCCCCCCACCACACACACACACACAACCACAGACGCACACACAGATACGAGCTGAGGAACCCCTGGGAACCTCCTGGGGGTCATAGTAATAAGATCAAAGGAACCACGCCCGCCCGTGACAAATGCGGCTGGACCTTTGCCTTCAGGCAGCTGTGGCGGGGCGGCATCACCCAGGCCAGCTTGGGGCCTGCCCTCCTTGGACTCCAGGCTGGGTGGGGTGGGAAGAGCCTGCAGATGGGCCTGGGGAGGTCCAGGTCTGAGTTCTCCAGCTCTGCCTCCTACCAGCCTCGTGGCCCTTGGCCAGTCACAGACCCTCTTCCTGTAAAACGGGGGCCAGGACAAATGAGACGCCTCCCTGACTGCGGCTGGGAGAGCCAAAGGGATGACTGAGGGACAGGTTGTAACTGGGGTGCCAAGTGCTGCCCCATGTAAGGGCTGGTGACAGGCAGGTTCTTGGCAGCTGGACGATCAAAGGGTCCGGAATCTGGCTGGAAACGGTGAGAGGAGAAGCCGAGACCTGGTGGGGAGCCAGGGAGGCGGGTCCCCATCCTCTGTCCCTTGTAGGGGAGTGTTGACAGGGGGCTGTCTGAGATGGCAGGTGGGCTGAGAAAGGGTTTTCTGGGGACAAGATTGGAAGCCATGAAAGGGCCACCAATTGCAAGAAAAGAAGCGCTAACTCTGAATAATCAGAAGAGCTCAGTTGGAGTCCCATCCTGCCTGATGCCACTAACTAGCTGAGTGACTTTGGGGAAGCCACTAGCCCCTCTGGGTCAGTACCGGGAATGGGGGGAGCATCCTGGCTCCCGTCCAACTCCGAGATCCTGAGGGACCCAGGGATATCTGGATCCTGGGGCAGTGGCCATGGGAAGCAGCTCTCTGGGGCCTCTGGCAGTCGAGAGGGCTGCCCACCTGGGCGGCTGTGGCTCACACAGCGCCGAACAGTCCCTCTCTCAGGCCTACAAGGGTGGGCCAGGCTGTGGATGGAGCTTCTTCTCAGCTCTGGTCACCCCACTTTGCACCAAGGGCTCTCACACAAATGCGGCCTGTAGCTGGAGCTTCACAGCACCCTGGCCAGCGGGTCCCCTTACTCACAGGGTCCTCCGCACCTCCCCCAATCCCAGCCGTCAGTACTGCAGAGAGGGGATGAGTCACCAACCCCAGGAGCACTCTGCTCTCGGATGCATAAAACCGGGGCTCCAGGCCCTTGCATGTCAGTGTGTATTCGCCTCAATCTCCAGAGATACTCAGCACACATGTACACATGCACACACACTCACATGCACACATTCTCCCTCTGTGTGAGGCCAGTGAGCTGCACTAGGAGCCACATCATAAAAAGAACAAGGAAAGGAGCCGGCTTTTATCTCGCAGCTGCCCTAGAGGTTTGGGGCTTTCCTTGGATTCCCTGGACTCTAGACTCTCTCCTTCTCTTTCTCCACCTATTGGCCCTCCTGCCCTCCATGGTGCTGCCTCCTTCTGCCCACCTGTCTTCTCAGAGGCCCTCGGGGCCTGGAAGGACCCCACTCCACTGGAAGGGATTAGGGGAGGAGTAGGATGGCTCAGGCCTGGAGGGAGGCCAGGCTCCCCTAACTGAGTTCCCGGAATCACCTGGGACCCACATTTAGAAATCACTAGGCCAGTGATGGCAAACCTATGACACGCGTGTCAGAGGTGACATGCAAACTCATTTTTTTGGTTGATTTTTCTTTGTTAAATGGCATTTAAATATATAAAATAAATATCAAAAATATAAGTCTTTGTTTTACTATGGTTGCAAATATCAAAAAATTTCTATATGTGACACGGCACCAGAGTTAAGTTAGGGTTTTTCAAAATGCTGACACGCCGAGCTCAAAAGGTTCGCCATCACTGCACTAGTCCTTGGGGTGGAGGAAATTAGCTGATACCCTGAGGCCTCTGCCCTCATCAGCGCTCCAGGTCCCTCTCTCCCCAGCCCTATGGGATCCCTGCCCTACAGGTTTAGGTGTACTGAAGTGAGAGGCTGTGGGGCGAGGGGACTGTGGGACAAGAGGCCAGTGGGGAGCATGGGGGTCAGCAGGGCCAGGGGCTCAGTCTGCAGTGTCTCTGGCCCGCGCCCTCTCACACACATCCCCTTGTCTCCTCATTTCTTCTCCCTACTCAGCAAAGGCAAAGAGAAGACCAAGGGAGGCAGAGATGGCGAGCACAAGTAGGTGTCCCAGGCCAGGGCGGAGCCCAAGGGCTCGAAGGGTCCTCACCACAGGGTGCGGATGTTGGGACGGCCCATGTCGGAGGCTTAGCCGTGGGCTGTCCTGGCGGAGTCAGCACCAGGGGATGGCAGGGAGAGGGCGGTCTCGCCACTTGACCATGGGAGTGAGGGACAGGGAGGCATAAGGGTGGGTTGGGCAGTGGCCGGGCCTTCTGATTTCCATTCCCTCCTCCCTCCTTTCAGTGTCTTGATTCCGCTTCCACTTCCCTGTTCAGCTCCCACCACTGAGTCAGGCCTTTGGTGTCCCTGTGTGGGAGGGTGTGAAGTCAAAGGAGTTGGGGAGGCTCAAGAAGCCAATGACCACCTTCAGAAGGAAGGCAGGGCTGGGCGGATGGACATGAAGTCCTGGAGGCCCAAGGAAGACTAACTAAGGGGTGTCTCACAGTACGAGCACACAGTAGGTCCACTGTAAAGGCTGGTTCCTTAGCACTGCTCTATTCTAATCTCTTGCCATTTCCAATTAACAAATGAGATAAAGTAAGCTGGCGTTTACTATTCTAACTTCATGTGTCGAGCCTTAGGTTGATTAAAAGGATAGGAAAATGGGACTCCTAAGAGGAGATTAAACAAGTTGAAACTCTTTAGCCTAAAGAAGCAAAAGTGTGGGAACCGGTTTGAAAGCTCTGGACGGTTATTGTGTGGCAATGCTGTTCGTTTCTATCTCCACTGGGGAGAAATCCGTGGAAATAGGTGAAAGTTGCAGTAAAGAAAATTTAAAAATAGAGCCAGGGAGACACTCTTCTCCCTGTGAGTATGTGAGATTCTGGGAGAGTCTGGTTTGGGGAGATGGGAAATCTGTTTCCATGATGCTCTTTGCTCGGGCCTTGCAAGGGGGTGGGTCACGGGGGAGAGCTGAGGAGCCAGGTCCCCTGGCAAATGTGGGGGTAAGCGCACAGGGCTGCCTGGCCTGCCGTACGGCAAGGGCACATGTGCCAACAGGCCAGTTTGGCGACAGGTTCCTGTATGAAGGGCCAACCTGTCCTGCCCGGATGTGGGAAGACATTCAAAACTAACTGAAATTCAACACACCCTGAAAGATGACTGTAAGAGCTGCAGTGATGACATTACCGGTGCTGGAGCGTGGACAGTAAGAGAGAGAAACCCACAAAGGAGCACGTGGAGAACAGTTCCCCAAGTTGACATTTACTAGTAAGTGATCCAGAGAAGACCCCCACACTCTGCTTCTATGCCACAGCATTTTGCTTCCCCTAAGGCCTGAGCTAATGAGACCAGACAGTCCCATTGAAGGCTGTCTTAGGAGAAGCCTTGGGCAGCCACGGCCAGCTGTTCATTTTCAGACACGTCCCTCTAAGTCACAACCTCCAGAATAATAGAGAGACCAAACTGGCTCGCTACCTTTAGTTTGGCCAACGTTCCCAGACATTATGAACACCAAGGTCTCCTCAGAGCCCCCAGTGCATCACCCAACCACAGTGACATCCTTCTAGATCTGAGCCATGGAACCAGCAAAGAAATCATCAGGTCTGTAGATGCAGAAAGAGTTTGAGTGAACTAACTTCAAAATCTTTTCTCTAGAGAGAAGTCATGGCCTAGCTGTAGGTGCATAGCATTCTGACTTTGGCGAATCCAGGAGGGGGAAGCCCAAATGTGATCATAAATCCTCAGTGGATCCTAGAGGCCCACCACCCCTGGCCCTGTTTCTCCTACTTTCATGCAGCCATGAATAAAAGAACCACTTGGTTGCAAAATAATTTTTCACCAAGTTGATTATTGGCTTTCTCACATTACATCCTTAATAATTAAAGAACCCCCTAGACCAGTGGTCGGCAAACTCATTAGTCAACAGAGCCAAATATCAACAGTACAGCGATTGAAATTTCTTTTGAGAGCCAAATTTTTTAAACTTAAACTATATAGGTAGGAACATTGTTATTAATGTAATTAGGGTACTCCTAAGGCTTAGGAAGAGCCACACTCAAGGGGCCAAAAAGCCGCATGTGGCTCGCGAGCCGCAGTTTGCCGACCACGGCCCTAGACCAAATGCAGAATTTTAGTTTTAAAAACCTCAGCCACCAGTGACCTAATTAAACGATTAGATTTTTAAAAAGTACAAATCTTTAATCCACTTGGATAATCTTCAAATTTCACTGATTAACATTTATTTCAATAAGAACCTTTGCCCTTTGCCAAGGGTAGCAAGCCTGCTGCTTCCCATTACCTGGCGCTGTGATAGACTCCAAAGGCATCTATTTCCCTGCTTGAGAGCACCTTCCGCCCCCTCTCCTCCCATTATTACACCCGGAAAGCATGATGCTGGAGCGAGCAGGCGGATCAGTCAGCCCCAGCCTCCTTTCACCTGATGCCTTTGCAGGAAACCATGAACATGCCAGGTGCTTCCTAAACTGTGAGCTGGTGCCACATGAAAGGGGTGGTTTTGGATGCGCCCTCTTTGGATGCGACCTGTCCATGTCTTGCCCGGCAGATGAAGAGGAAAGGAAAGGCTTAGGGCTAGGACCGGGCCAGGTTTGGGGGGATGAGATTGGCTCTCCAACCCTGAGTAGAGAGGCCTGAGGTTACTAGGCCACCTCCCCCAGGACAGAATGGTTTCGCCCAACTCACGTTAACTAGCATAACGAGCACAGGCCTTGGATAAGTAATATGCCTATGGAATAACTAACTATTTGGAAAACATTTCTGGGTTTATTAACTGAGCTAACATATCCCGGAACCTTAGGAAGCTACATCTATATAAGAAAAATGTAGTGGGCTGAATGGTAGCCACAAAAACAGAGGTATGTCTGTGTACTAATTCCTGGAAGCTGTGAATATCACCTTATTTGGAAAAGGAATCTTTGCAGATGCAATTAAGTTAAGGATCTTGAGATGAGGATATCATATTGGATTATCCAGGTGGGCTCTAAATCCAGTAACAAATGTCCTTGTAAAAGATACGAAGTGGAGAAATTTTTAAAAAGAAAAGAAAAAGAACAGCGGTCCTGAGAGCCATAGTGAAGCCTCCACAGGGAGATGCAGGGCCCACAATGGGTGGCTCAGCTGTGGGTGAGTTTAGGGTTGGCGCCTGCCCCTCACCCCACGTGGGCCTACAGGACAGGGCCACACCCAGGAGGAGGGGCAATGGGAAGTGGACGGAGTCAGGTGTCCAACTAATGCAGTATTAATGGGGTAATGGAATACTGCACTTTATCCCATGCTGATCCTACTCCTGGTCCCTCCTGGCACCAGGGATCACAGGCTCGGCTGCGGGGATAGCACAGAAGGGACAGTGAGGACCCTGCCCCTTCCCTCAGCCCCCCCGACGGCAGGGCCTTTCACCTGAGGGCACAAGGCCACACCAAGCCAGAGGAAGAGGTAGGAACTATGGAGTCTGCCATATGTTCCTGGGGACTGGTGGAGGGGGAGATGCCACAGTGAGAGGGGGCAGACCGAAGGGGCCTTTTTAAAGCCAGCACCAAAGATAGATGGGAAAGAGCCTATTTCCTCCTTTTCACTGGGGACCAAGGAGGATCCCAGGGAACAGGGAGGTTGGGAAAGACGGGGCCGGCTTTGAGCACCAGGGCCCTCTGAGAAGTGGGCAGCTAGTTTCAACCACATCTCCCAGCACCTCGGCCTCTGCCCCTCTGAGTCCTGTTCCTGACTTCTGTTCTGATGCTTTGTGTCGGGTTGGCTGGCTTGCTTTCCATCCATTGGGGGGGGGGGGGGGGGGACAGGGACATAGAAGAGCAGCTTGCGGGCACTGGCGGAGCTTGGAGCTCTAAGACTGGACTGAGAAGGGCTGAGATCAGCCCAGGATCCCGAGGGGCTCCAGTTAAGCGGTGCCTGCCAACCGCAGGCCACCTTCTCTGGTCGCTGGCTCCCCACCTGTTCCTCAGGGTGTGAAGGCCTGGGCAAGGGGTGGGGTTTCCTCTGCCCGAATCCCCCCTCTTGGCTTCCAGTTTATCTCGGTACCAGTAGGTGAGGGGCTGGGGTTTGGGTGTCCCTTTCCCTCGCGTTTTCGCTCGGGTTTTGCTCTTCTGTTGGTGTGTCTTCCTCCTTGCATCCATCTCCCTCCACCTCCTCATTCTGGCGGCTCCTCTCACAGAACCGGGAGGAGCGTGTTCTCCGCCATGAAGCTCGGGAAGAACCGGCTCCACAAGGAGGAAACCCAAAGACAAGGTACAAACGCGTGCACCTGCCCTTGGTCTAGCCATCTCTCCGCACCGGAGACCAAACCCCGCCTCTCTGCAGTCAGGGTCTCCTGTGATTGGCCGGTGGAGCCACGTGGGCGGGGCCTGGCCTCCCATTGGCTAGCGGGGGAGCCAGGCCCTGACCGTGGCCCTCAGGCAGGGGTCGCTGTGAGGGCTGAGGGCTGAGGGCTGAGGATGGAACCGCATCGCTGTTGGTCTGTTGGTTCTCAACCTGGGGGTCGAACGACCCTTTCACAGGGGTCGCCTAAGACCATCGGAAAACACATATATAATTACATACTGTTTTTGTGATTAATCACTATGCTTTAATTATGTTCAATTTGTAACTATGAAAATACATCCTGCATATCAGATATTTACATGACGATTCATAACAGTAGCAACATTACAGTTATGAAGTAGCAACGAAAATAATGTTATGGTTGGGGGTCACCACAACATGAGGAACTGTATTAAAGGGTCGCGGCATTAGGAAGGTTGAGAACCACTGGGACTCTAGACTAGAGCCGAGCGGAGCCCCCTGCTCAGGGGCCTGTTTATGAACGGTTCCTCCCGCCCTCTGCCCCATTCTGCTTTCTCCATCGAGAAGCCTAGAGATTTGTAGAGTAGGGATAACAAAAAACAGGCATTGTTAGGCCAATTCCTTATTTCTGGGGCAAAACCTGACTCCGAGAATGTTTGCCCAGATCCTGCCTTTTCCCTCTCACGGGGCTGCAGGGAAGGCCTTGGGGAGAGAGGCAGGGTGGGCCCCGGAGGCTGGAGTGGCCGGTGGCACTGGCCCCCCTGGAGCAGCAGGCTGGGAGGGGGTGAGACAGTTGTTTAAGAGAAGGACAGGCAGAAAACGGAGGAATGGAGTGGACAATGATGTGTGTAGCTGTCTCACCCAGGTCCTCGGGGCGCCTGGCTGCACTCCCCGTGTCCACTGTGTGGCCCACTGGCCCCAGAACCCCTCTCCCCTCCTCTTGCCCCCATGCCAATTCCAGCTGTGGAGAGGACACAGCTGCTGGCTGAGGCCCAAACCAACGACCCTTGGGTGGCTTCTTAGAATCGTCATTTCTGTGTCTCATTGGATTAATACACATTAGCACAGGGTTAGGTTCTGAATTCCATCAGCTATTTTCCATGGATAAGTTGCTTCCTAAGCCTCAGTTTCCCCATGTGTGACATGAGAATAGTGCCCATGTTGGGGGGCATGGCTATGAGGACTAGAGATATGTGTATAAAGTGCCTGGCACATGGTATCCGCTCAATAAATGGTAGCTATTGTTACGAGTGGTATATAAGTGTGTGTCCTTTATTTCCTACCTCTTCCATGAGACTACTCAGTGCTTAAGTAACATACAATAAGAGTTACTTTCTATTAAAATTTAAAAAAGCAAAGCCAGATATAATTAAAATCAATTTTTAAAAAAGCAAAACCAGATATAATTAAAACCAGATATAAAAGATCAAGATGAGGTAGGAAACTCTGTAGATATACAGGCTATAATATTCTTAGCAGATGCTACTAGTTATACCTTAAATTTAACTGTTAGCTTCCCTGATGCCAAAGCAAAAGGGGAAAGACCGTCACTATCCCACCGTCCCGCCCACCTAACCAGCCTTTCTTCTTCCCCAGATGAACCAGCAGTGCTGGAGATGGACGACCTTGACCGCCTGGGCATTCGGCTGGCCGAGGGGATGGATCCAGACTCCGTGTCTCTAGCTTCTGTGACAGCTCTCACCACCAATGTCTCCAACAAGCGGTGAGTGGGCAGAGCCCCACATCCCCAATTGCCCCCCACCCCCACCCCAATCAGGCAGGAATGTTAGAATTTGGGTTCATCTGAACCTGCCCCTTTCTTCTTCTCCTGGCTGTCTCTCAGCTCTCCTGCGGCAAGTCGGCACAGCCGTGGCATACTCAGCCCCACACTGGGCGCCTTATGTGCCGAACCAGCTCAGCCAGGTTCGGTGAGCCTGAGAGGGCGCGGTGAAGGATTGAGAAAAAGACAGACAAGAGAATAAAAGCTGGGTCTGAGTGGGACGCTGTCCTCTGTGATGGAGAGAGCTAGCGACAGTGCCACGGGCTACAACCCGTGTCTTTATTTTATAGCAGATTCCACAAGGCAAAGTAAGGGCGTGGTCAAGATGTTTACAACATTCTCATGGGTTTCAATCCTACTCAACTGCATGCACCTGAACTCTATCAAGCCCACATCACTCAGACACGTGGGGCCACGTGTTCGGACCATAGGTTCAAGCTTACAACTACAGCTGTTGGCTATAATTGTGCTGGGAGGGCTCTGCCCTCCAAGCTGGGACTTGCACGTGGCCATGAGAGGACTGTGCCCTCATTAGTCCGAGGCTTGAACCTGGCCAAACACTGTAGCCGCTCTCCACACTCTCCCTGCAAAGGCAGAGTGCAGCAGTGGTGGGCCTGTTCCCAAGGCACCGAATACCTCCAGGCCCAGGGCAATCACAGAGCCATCCAGCCCGTATTTGAACCTGCTGTTCTGATGCCTGCCTCCCTGTTAATTATGCTATTGCTTAGTCCTCTCTGTTGGGGCCTCCGAAAACTACTCCCCATTCTGTTTGACAGTCTTGGGTGTTTGAAGACCACAGTTCTGTCCTTCCGCCCTTCTCCAAAATCTAACCACGGCCAGAGAGGGCCCCCCTCCTCCCCTGCAAGCAACCCCCTTACACCAGGCCTGACTGTATGTTCTCCTCCTCAGATCCAAGCCAGACATTAAGATGGAGCCAAGTGCCGGGCGGCCCATGGATTACCAGGTGGGTGGGCCAACTAGAGTCCTCAAGCCTTTCAGACTCTGCTCGGTGGGGGTAGGGATGTGGCCTGGCTAGATGTGCATTTCAGACTCTGTGGAGGCAGGGATCTGGGGGTCCTGGACAACCTCAGCCAGATATAAATCCCCCGAGTAAGCTTGTCCCTGGGAGGCACACAGAGAAGCAGCACAAAAAGAGAGGTACAAACCCAAAGGGGAGCTTGAAAACTCTGTTTATGCTGCTCAAAGCCCTCCCAGGATTCCGTGTCCAGAACTGGACTTCATACAGTAAGAGGGACCTAGAGGAACCGTAGAGACCAAGGAGCACCCCCTCCCTCCAAAAAAAAATCACAACAATCAAGAGCCTCTGAAGAAAGATTTCTTCAGTGCATTTTTAAAAATTGTTGTATTAAATTCTGTAAGTAATGTCAACCCTGTTTATCTATAGATAGTGAGAGTGGGTGTTTCTTCTTGTTTTTGCTCCTCTGTATTCTCTGAAATTAACACAATCTTTTTGTATGTTCCTAAAACGAAGACAAAATGGCTGAGACAGGGAGAGATCGACAGCTGTAAGATTACTGTGGCCACAGTGCAGACCGGTCACTGCTGGGACAAGGCCATAGGGGTAGCTGGACAGCAGTGCGGCCCTCCCAGCCTGGGACGTTATGGGAGCACAGCTCCGCCGACGCCGGGCATTAGAGAAGACACGAGAAGCTGTAGGCACATACAGGAGAGACTTTGTTGTAGATCGAATGGCCATTGCTGCTACAGGAGCCACCTGACAAAGTAGTTCTTCAAAGTAGCCCAGCCCCCTGCCTGGTCAGTGGTAACTTATATACACACCAAATGGAGGAGGCCTCGTGCCAGTGATACACGCCAAACAGAAGAGGCCTTACGCCAGTTCGTGACACTCATGCTACATTAACAAACAGGTTACATCCTCGCCTGCATGTATGCGTATGATGGCAAATTGGCCTTGATCATCTGGCGTACTCTGATTAGGGTTCCCACAGACCTGATCCTCAGCTTGGCAGGACCACACCCTCAATCTTGTCTCTTTTCCCAGAGTTGCTCAGAGCCTGAGAGGCTGAATTACATCAACACACCTCACAATAGGCTACTGTACAAGCCAGAAGCACCTAGTGCCTATTTATAAACTGAAAGCAGGAAGGGCGAAGAGACCATCCATTGCTTAGACCTCCCCTTGGTGGCTAAGGAGACCCAGCTATAGGTCAGGAGACTGCTGGGTATTCCTAGCATTGAGTGGGTATGCTGTCCGGTGAGAGGGGACAGAGCCTTCGGGAGACCCCACCTGGCCTAGGTACCAGCGCCAGACCCCAGAATCAGTGTGAGTCCCCTCTCCTAGGTTAGAGCTTATCTTTTATGCCCAATTCCCAGAGCCCTTGCACACCACCTCAAAGACAGCCCCACCTCATCTCGCTCAGGTGATGATGTCATGTAGTAGATGGCACCTTTCTTTGTATCAAATACATCTGTTCATGTTTTCTCCAGACACACCTTGTTTCCCTTCATCCTCACTTCAGTCCCTGACCATCTGTTCAGGTGGAAAAATAGCCCCAGACAGTGTCAAATGGCCCTCCCCCTGTGGTTTTAGAAAACCTCAAGCCACTGGGCTTCTTAAAGGTTCGGGTATGTCACCCTCACCTCTCTGCAAAAATTCAAGCATAGAGTGTTCTAAGACTTCTGAGGGCTTTTCCAGGGGACTGGGCTCAGGGCTTGACTCCTCTGTGTGCTGAGAACAGGAAAATTCCAAAGAACAAAGACCCCGTAGTCAGATATTGTTGCCTCCACAGCGTCACCAGCCTGCCAGGTAAGGGCACACAGAAAATGGAGTCGTTGCTCTTAATGGAACTGTATTTTCTGAAGGTTTACCATATGCTAGATACTAGGTCAGGAGCCGTATATGTGTTGTCCATTTAAGTTAATGTCATTCTTAGAACCCTCTAAATATAGGTATTACTACGAGACATTGAGAGCCAGAGAAGGTAAGGAGCTTGACCAGGTCACAGTCACTCAGAGCTAGATCCAGGGTTCAGACCTGAGGGTGTCTGACTGCAGCAGCGAGAACGACTCATTTCTAATTTAACCCTCTGGACAGTCGCCCCCTCTGCTCCCTGGTCAGCTTCCGCTTGCTGCCTGCTGCTTGTTTTCCAAAGCTCTTTCAGGCTGCTTCCTGCCAGAGGCTTTTGTTAACTAAACAGACACTCTCCCTCCAAACACTGCACACAATCTGAATGGAACAGAACAGTTGTCATTAACCTGGCAACTCGGGATTTCCTGACAGGTTCATTTACATCTCAACTGCAAGTGTTAGCACACTTAGAGAGAGAGCGGGAAGGATGCAAATGAGGAATTATTCTTGTTGCCAGTAAATACAACATAGAAAGCAAGAAACCCTGCCAGAGGGAACTCTACTGTCTTGGAGAACTTGGCTTTGCTGAGTTAGAAAGGCCTCAGAAAGTGTGCCGCACCAGCACGGCCAAGGGTGACCCTGAGAGGGGGCGGCGAAGGATTGAGAAAAGACAGACAAGAGAATGAAAGCTGGGTCTCGGCAGGACGCTGCCTCTCTGATGGAGAGACAGCGACGATGCCTGCAAGCTGAGTCTTTATTTTATAGCAGATTCCACGAGGCAAAGTAAGGGCGTGGTCAAGATGTTTACACTGTTCCAAGCTACTCAACTACATGCACCTGAACTCTATCAAGCCCACATCACTCAGGCACGTGGGGCCAAGTGTTCGGACCATAGGTTCAAGCTCACAACTACAGCTGTTGGCTATAATTGTGCTGGGAGGGCTCTGCCCTCCAAGCTGGGACTTGCACGTGGCCATGAGAGGACTGTGCCCTCTCATTAGTCCGAGGCTTGAACCTGGCCAAACACTGTAGCTGCTCTCCACAAGAAAGCACAGCCAGTTGGTGACAGGAGAGGGACTTAGCTGGACTCAGATTCAGGAAGGATCCTGAGGCCTCAGAACAGTGAAAAGACCATGGCATACTCCTACCCGCTATTCCCTCTGTGTAGGATGTACGTAATGTGCAAACCCTGTTATGATTATTGACATCTCAAAAGCGAGAAGCCACAGTCTCTTCCTCGTGAATATGCAGTTTCCCATCAGAGTGAGCAAAGGCCGGCCCTTGGCAGAGATGTTCCTGGCGGATGATGAAGTCTTGAGTCTATTCCCTCAATATGCAAGTTCAATATTCTCTCTTCCCAGCACCAAGACCTTACACGTTTTCACCTCCAAACATCTCTCCAGTTTCCACCTCTCTGTCATCTTCCTCCCACTGGCCCTAGACCCCAGCCTTGACTGCAGTATTGCACCCACTTCTTCTCTGGTCTCCCCACCCTCAGATTACTTCCTCCACTGCATCCTCTACCATCTTCTCAAAATGCAGATCTGGTCATGTCACATCTCTGCCACCAGGAGTTGCAGGAAGGTAAAGGATCTTTAGAAGAAAGTGCTAAAGGGGCATCTCCTCTCCTCTCCAGCTCCCAGCTAGTGTTCTTACAGCATGATCAGATCGCTCAGAAGCAGGTCACGAAGCACTATGACTCTTGGGTTCTCCCAAGACAAAGGTATAGATTTACATTTAGCATTGTTCCTTGCGATGGCTTTATGCAGCCACCTAGGGATTATGTGTCTTATCTTGGAAGGAGAAGGTGGAATAGTCAATTACGAAAAGTGCTTCTTGATCAGCTGTCAGTCAGACCCACTGTGGCTCTATTTGCCCCTTCACCTTCCATCCAGGAAAAATAAAGTCCTCTGCTGATGATTATTTTATAATCATCAATTAATGGGAGGGGAAGGATGGCCAATCCCCTCCCTCGTGTTTTGTGTGTTTTGTTTTGTTTTAAATTTCAAGTCCCAGTGATGCATTCCTCTCCACAGAGCGCCACTTGGGGCAGGAGCAGCAGGATGGCATTCCCAGAGCATAAACATTTAAATATATGCTGCTTTTAAAATAGCACCATATGAGGCTACACTAGCACCATGCAGTGGCCTCAAGTGTGCGTTCTCAGGGTTCCCCCTGGGGCCACCACTCAGCCAGCAAAGAGTACCCTGAGCCTCTCTTCTCCCTTTTACTTCATTCAACCCTCTGCCCTCCTTCTCTCTCCACCTCTGACCTCCTGTGTGTCAGAGCTGCCAGCCAGGGCTGTCTACCATCATGGGCTCTGCTCAGTGGAGGAAGGTGGAAACACTGGGTCCTGAAAAGGCTGTTATCATGGCCGGGCCTCTGTTTGAAAATCATAAAAACGGACCAACTGCTCATGTTGGGAAGGTTAATCTCCTGATGGCATGTTTTTAGTACCTTATTATGCCAAATCTGTGTCTGTCTCTTCCTAGTCTTGGGTTACCTCAGGTCCTGTTTTTGTTGTTGTTTGGTTGGGTTGTTTTTTTTTTAATGGAAGGGAGGAGATGGGTTAATTGTGGGGAAATGATGAGATTTAAAAATATATATTTGGTATAAAAAGTTTCATCGGGGTCAAAACTCTAAAACTACTGTGCAAAGAATATTCTGGAAGGACTTCTAATGTCTATTTACTCTCTTCACAGTAAACTCTGAGTTACGTTAATTAGCTCTATTTCCTTCTGAGCTCCCTTAAGAAATGGTGATTACTGAACTTCTTCAACGCTCCAGATTCTGAGCTCCATTCCCTTGGTACTTCTAATTCCAAACAGAAATGCTTGAGTTCATAGTTCAAGTGCTACTTCAATTAGTAAATGTTCCAGTTCTGTATACTTTCCTAGCAACATTCTCATTGGCATCGGAGTTTCTATTTTTCTTAACATCTTTCGTTTTGATGTGTAAAATTTTCTTGGCCTTTAGCGTATTTATAAGACTCTCGTGGACACGGTGGATGATAATTGTTGTGATTATTCTTTTTTATGAAAAGGGAAAATGATTCTCTTGAGTGAAATCATATTTAGAAGCTGCATCAAAGCACAGCAATTAAAATACCAGATCTCCAAGAGGAGAAGCATGAAAGGCAACCTGTACAGTTTCACTAGAAGAAACGTGCTGAAGGAAATGCTAATTCTAGCTCAGCAAAGCCCCTTTTGTTAAAATGCAAGTTCAAGAGAGTCGACTGAGACGATCGTGAGCATCAGACAGACCCTGTCCTCTTGGGAGACCAACCATTTAACTGAAGGCTGCCTTTATTCTGGCTGAACCAGCTCCAGGGCTCACACATCTTCCCCTCTGGCCTCCCTCTCTCCTGCCTGCAGGTCAGCATCACGGTGATCGAGGCTCGGCAGCTGGTGGGCCTGAACATGGACCCCGTGGTGTGCGTGGAGGTGGGTGACGACAAGAAGTACACGTCTATGAAGGAGTCCACTAACTGCCCCTACTACAATGAGGTCAGTGCCCGTGGCCCCAGGTCGGGAAAGGGACCTCCCAAATATGGCAGGAGGCTGGGTCCAATAGGAGCATCTGAGAGTCAAGAGGCACAAAGGGCTACCAGCAGGGGTGACCTTGACCTACCCTGTTACTACCACTAGAACACTGACCTGCAATCTAGAGTCTGTGAACCCCAATCTAGATCCCAGCCTGACTCTGGTCTGGCCGGGGCCACCCTTTGAAAGGAGCACCCCCCAGGCACTCCCGTGCAGCCCTCAGCAGTGAGTGTCTCTGTGAATCTCACGCCCTAAGGCCTGGCCCCAGCCGTTTCCGAGGACAGAGCCCTGGGGCAGTGTCCCCATTCCAGGCCCTGCCCGTGGTGGCACTGGCGCGTTAATGAGCACTTGCTGTGCACCAGGCACTCTTCTGAATGCTTTAGGTGTGTCATCTCTTCTGACTCCCACAACAGCCAGAGGCTGTCACCATGAACCCCGTTTTACACCTGGGGCATTGAGGCTCCTGGAGAAAGAACTTGCCCAGGTGCTAAGCGCCAGGGTTGGGCTCTGCCTGCTCACCCTCCTGTGAGGCTGCCTTTGTGCTGCCTGCACCGCTGTGGGGCTCCTTCCAGAGCCCTGGCCTGGAATCTTGGGGTGAGAGAGAGAGAGAAAGCCAGGTGCCCACTCCTGTTCTTTGCAGCCATGTGAGGCCACATCAAGGTCAAAGGACCTCAGAGACCTTCTAGTTCGGTCTCCCCATCTTGTTGAGATTAGAGAGTACTGTGGATGGAAACAGGCCCAGCCTGTCCAGCCTCAGCCCAGCACTCTCTCTGCCACCTTGGATGGCCACCCCAGACCCACCACCTTGACTCTGGGCTCCAGGGGGACCCATCTTAATCATCTTTGATCCCTGGCCCTCCCTTTCCTTCAGGGGGCATCTAGTCTGCTTTTCCCCGTGGCTCCAGAGGGGTGCCAGATTGGCCCAAATAAGGCATCTGTGCCCTGTGTCCCAGGGTCTGTCCTGAGTGGTGAGGGCTGAGGGGCCTTCTGTAACTACGGGGAGGGCATCTCTTGGGAACTGTGGGAGCACCAAGCCCTGCATCTTCCGTTAGAAAACCTGGGCACACTTCTGCCCTTCGTAGGGGCTCTGTCTAGGGTAGGGCCTGGCCAAAGTCTCCTGTGTGACCACAGACAGACCCTGTTCTCACAGCTGGTTTCCCACAGGCCCACAAGGGCTAGAACGCCAGGAACCCCACCCCCCCCGCCCCGCCCACACACACACACGCACACACCCCATCCCAATGTTCTGGCTCAACGTCTCTGACACACCTTATGTCAGGACTCATCCCTGACTGGAAAAGCCTTCAGCCGAGATAACGGCTTACTTTCCCCTAACAGACATGGAGACAGGTTCCCTTGGCCTTCCACGGTTATTTGATAGGGGCAAAGCCGCATCACCTTGCACCAGCCCAACGCACCTCATGTTTCATTCAAATGGCTTCTTCTTTCCCAAGGAAATAGTTGCTCTCCCTACTCTGTGGTTCCTCAACAAACTCCTACTCACCCTACAGGGCCCAGCTCAAATGCCCTTGCCACTGAGCAGCCTTCCCTGCACTCTCCGGGTCAGAGGTCAGTGCACCTCTCTCTGTGTGACAGTAATGTCCCTGAATTGTGGTTGGTCCTTCGTGTCTCTGTCTCCCTGGTGGACTGGAGGCTCCCTCCCAGTCTCCTGCATCGTGTGGCCCAGCCCAGAGCCTGGCATGTACCTGGAGGGGTTTGGGGACACTCTGCTGAGTGGATACTCACCCAAAGGAAGAAACAAACACCTGCTGAGCATCTGCTGTGGACCGGGCCCATGTCTGCCAACACGGGGACTGTAAAGGCAACAGTTTCTGCCCCAACGGGCCACCTCCCAGTTCCAGCCTCGAAACCACTTTCTAAACTCCATATTTATATCCACGAAGACTATGCATTTCACTCAAGCGGGTCTTAACTTTGTTCTTGGTCACAGTTTTGTTCTTTTTTCACAAACCCAAGTAGCTGATTTATTCAGTTTCTGTTTCCTCTCTCCAGCCCAGCACTATGGTGATTTTGGGCGGGTAACTTTTGGTGTAAGGGACTGTCCTGTGCATTGTAGGATGTTAAGCAGCATCACTGGCTTTGACCCAGTAGATGCCAATAACGATTCCCTATCCAGTCGTAGCAACCAAAAATGTTTCGATATTTCCAAATGTCCCCTGGGAGTCTCAGCACGTCTCGCCCCCTCCCCCCCATTAAGAAGCACCACCCTAAACTATCTTCCCATGATTCCTCCCAACCACATTCCTCTTCGTTGAAAAATACCCTCCTGGTCCCAGAGGTGTACTGCTTCTGGCTAATTCTTAGTTAAGGAAAACCTTCCTTTGGCTCCAGTAATCACAAGAGAGAGAGGTGAGAACCATCGACATGACTTAGCAGATTTCTAAACGGTTACAAAAAGAAAATATGCTCAGGAAGTGCAAGGAATGTGACCACAGACCGCTCCGAGAGTGCAAGTCCGGCTGTCCTCAGCCAGCTCGCTCTCCTGGGGCTGGCACAGCTCTCAGGCACCTGGCCGGCCGTGGCCCGACTGCCTGGCTCTGGACCCGTCTTTGTGTGCAGGAAGGCTCAGGACCTGCCCTCCCAGAACTACCTGACCAGGCCAAGACCCCTTCTCTGTGGATGCATCTGGTCCCGGCCACCGGCATCTTCCTTCTGCCTGAACCACCTCTCCCCTTTGCCCTGGATCTTTCTCTTGCTGCATCCCAACGAATCTGGCATTATGGCGTTCACTCAACACCATCCACTCTGCCTTTACGTCCCTTTTGGCTCCACCTTTGCCTATAAGGTGTTCTACTCTCACATATTCTAACTACAGCTACCGGAAATCATGTATGCTCAACGACAGGAACTACACATCTGTCTGTCTATCTCCTATCGATCTATCCAACTATCCAGCCATCTAGCTATGCCTTTCCTCAAGCCCACATATCTCCTTAGTGACCACCTCTCCCCTCCCATTCACAGTCTGACCACGTGACTTGTCTCCACTTTCTCACCTCCCACTCACGCCTCAATCTCTACCATCGTTTCTGTTCCATGACTTCACTGAAACTGCCCATCTTTAACTGCACCAAGGACCGGCTGTCCCTCAGTGCAACATCCACCCCCTCTCCCTGACTGGCCGTTTCCTCTCATCCACTCGCCGGTCCCTCCCCTGGGACCTCTGGGGCCCTCTCCTGCCCGCTCCTCCCTCCCCGCCTTTCTTGGCCTCGCTGGCTCTGCCCACGGCTGAAATGCAGTGCCTCTAGGAGCCCTGCCCCCGGCCTGCTTCCCTCCGACACACTCCCCGGGCACCTCCCCCCGCCCCAAGGCGTCAGTTGCCATCTGCGTGTCTGGCTCCCCACCGTCTCTCCAGAGCTTCCGTCCCCCACCTGCCGTATTGCTGCCATGCTAGCAGCTGGTGCTTGTTGGGCGCTGACCATGGGCACCCCTGCGTGACAGAGGTCGTTTCATTGAGACTTCAACACCACACACCTGCTCCCCCCGCCCCTGTGAATGATGTCCCTGGCAGGTCAACCTGACAGCTCTGAATCATTCTCCCCACATCACAGAGGGATAAACTGAGGCTCAGAAGAAGCAGCGATGGGTCCAACAGTCAAAGCTCAGTCTGTCTGTCTCTGCAGCCACACCTTCACCCACAGCCAAGAGCAGAACCTCCTGAGATCTTCCCCCTAAATACATGGGCAACATTTCTTCCTTCTGCCCACAAGTTCACCAAAGCGGGGTGCCTCCGCTCCTCCCCACACCCTCATTCCCTGCGCCTGCCCACCAAGGCCAGAGAGATGGGTGGGCACCGCCCCTGGGAGGGGCAGCTCCCAACTTGAGAGGACAGTCCACGCCCACAGCATTTGCCATTCCCAGCGGTTTACATGCCTTCGTACCCCAGATTCATCGGTTCCAAAGCTCCCGTTTTCCGTTTTAACATCTCCGAAATGGGCTGCATCTCCGATGGCTGAATGGCGATGCCTATGTAGCTCATATAACCACGACGTATCGTACAGTCCCAACACGTCTCTAAGGAGGCGGTCATTGTCCGCCTTGTTCAGCTCAGGAAACTGAGGGCCAGAAAATGTTGCTCAAGGCCACACAGCTAGAAAGGGGCTAAACAGGGGCTACAAACCCAGTCTCCCGGCCCCCAACCCAGGGCTGCTCCATCGACTGCCCCCCTCCCTCCCCCTCCCACACTAGGTGGCACTGGCTCTGCCTAGGGGTTGGGGTATGGCCCTCATGTTGGGGCCCAGCCTCCTACCCGCCCAGGTCAGGGAGGACCAGTGGCTGCCACTGCTGCTCACCTGAACTTGGGGGCTCAGGGGAAATGGCCGGGGTGCAGACAGGCACTGCCAGGAGGGAGGGGCCCAGCACTGCCCCCGGGTGTTAGCTGCTGCCCACCCGGTGACAGCCGGCCTGGGTCCTTCCCCCCTCCAGTACTTCGTCTTCGACTTCCACGTCTCTCCTGACGTCATGTTCGACAAGATCATCAAGATCTCGGTGAGTGGGGAGCAGCCCCTGGCAGGCAGGCCTTCGGCTCACACTGCACCTTCGTGCAAACTTGGAAAGGGCGCCCCTCGGGGAAAACCAGCCACAAAAAGGCAGCCCTGCACCCCGACACACAGCTGGGCAAGCGGGGCGCAGGCTGGGTTTGAGCCCCTCTCGCCCCATAGCTGGGTGGCAGCGCAGTGCACAACCTACTCACCTGTACTGGCAACCAGCCAAAGCAGGCCAGGGCAGGGGGGCTGATCTGAGCCTCGAGGCCCCCCCTACCCTCATACCCGGCCAAACGCTCTCCTGCTTCACCCAGAGGCTTGGGTCCCCAGAAAGACTGAGGTGGTGCCACCATCAGTCACCCCACCCCGCCCCTGCCCCTCGAAAGCCTCAGCCCCGCCCTGACTGGTGGCTGGTGGTTCTGCCCGGAAGGTGATTCACTCCAAGAACCTGCTGCGCAGCGGCACCCTGGTGGGGTCCTTCAAAATGGATGTGGGAACCGTGTACTCCCAGCCCGGTGAGTAGCTGCGGCCACGCCAGCATCGGTGCACACGGCTCGGGGAGCCTGGGCTCTCGGTCTCCCCACCCTGGCGGTCCCTGGCTCATGTATACACACACCACACACATACGCACACATAAGTAAGCACAGCCACACCCCGGCGGTCCCGGTGGGGCCGTGAGCACACACAGCCGTCAGGGATGCGAGTGATGGGTGCTCCGCCTTATATGCACCAGTCTGCTGGCACCCTGGGGAGACCCAGAGCTGCAGACTGCCCCTCTGCTGGGATGAGTGGCATCACCCCTTCTACAGTTGAGGGGCCTGGGGCTCTGGGAAGGGCCAGGGCTTTCCCAGTCTCCCAGCTGGTCTGGGGTGACACCGGGCTGTGTGACTCCTGAGCCCCCACTGAGCCCCACTGTCCTCAAAGCCCACCACCTGGCCAGGTGGATCCATGGGCGTACAACCTGGCACGGGGCTCCCCTAGCCCTGAAGGGAACCTGCCACTCACGGTGCAGTCACGACGCCATTAGGCCTTTTGACAGTGGCAGTACCATGTCAGCCAGGCTGTCACATTGGACCCTCACAGAACAGGGAGGTAGGCACCAGCCGTCCTTCCCATTTCCAGGCGAGATCAAAGCAGCCAAGAGAAGTTAAGCGGCTTGAAGGTGCCACTCAATTATTACGTTGAACAAATTGGAGCTTTTTCATGGTTCAACCTAATAGACTCTTGGCTGGTACACATCATGGCTGCGACTCAGACGGGGGGACATGCGCCTTGTTAGGGATGGGTCTGAGTTGTGGTAGAAGGTGAAGGGGAGAGGGGAAGAGGGAAGTTCTGAGCCTTTCATGCAGCAAGGCCAGGGCTTCCCTCTGCTCGCAATCAGCTTTAAAGTGAAGCTTAAGCCCAGCTGGCATGGCTCAGTGGTTGAGCATCGACCTATGAACCAGGTCACGGTTTGATTCCCAGTCAGGGCACATGCCTGGGTTGTGGGTTCAATCCCCAGTAGGGGGCGTGCAGGAGGCAGCCGATCAGTGACCCATCCTGGAATGGCCTCTTCCCCTGATACCTGCCCTTTCCTCCACACTGTCCAGGTCTCCACACTGTCCCAGGTCCTGGGGTTACTGGGGTGACACTAACCTGTCTTTAGGAGACTTTCCGTCTGAAATTGGACAGACAATAAGTAGTTAATCACTTGTCCGTGAGACAGGAGTGTGCTTATGGAACGGCAAGAACACCAAAAGGGTCAGGTTTAGCAATTCCGAGAAAGTCAGGGAAGGCTGCATGGAAGAGGAGACACTTACGCAAAGGAAGTAGACGTTTAAACAGGGAGGAGAATGGTTGGGGCAGAGGGAGAGCAGGGATGAGGTCATCCCAAGCTCAAAGGCCAGCAGCCACAACGGCATGAAGGAGTGAAATAGCGAGTGAATTATTCAGAGGGGTCAGCAGCTTTGCCTCGCAGGAGCACAGGGATGGGGTGGGACGAGCAGAATGAGTAGGAAGAGCTGTATCCAGAGGCCCCACAGGCCATGCTAAGGTCTGTGGTCTTACCCCGAGCACTGGGGAGCCCCCAGTGAGAGAGGGGAGCCTCTCTGAAGGCTCTGCTGGCAGCCGTGTGCAGGTGAGCGCAGGGGTTGGGGTAGGAGGGCTGCAGGCGGAGGAACCCATTAGGAGGCGGTCACACCACACACCTGGATACAAGCCCTTGCCCCAGCTGCCCCTGCTCAGGGACCTCTGTCCCCCTGGTCCAGAGGCAAGCAGAGCAGTGGCCCCTGGCCCAGGGGCACCTGATGGCTTCATCTAGGGGCCAAGAAGGCCCTCAGCTCTGCAGCTTTGCGGCCTGCCCGGAGGGCGGGTGCCCCTGGGAGGGGGCGCAGGTGCAGTCCCCGCTCCTCGCCACTGCAGAGCACCAGTTCCACCACAAGTGGGCCATCCTGTCCGACCCTGACGACATCTCGGCTGGGCTAAAGGGCTACGTGAAGTGTGACGTCGCAGTGGTGGGCAAGGGGGACAACATCAAGACGCCCCACAAGGCCAACGAGACGGAGGAGGATGACATTGAGGGGTGAGGCTCCCATCTTCCCCCGCCTGAGACCCGGCCTGGCCCGTCCTTCCCCAAAGGGAGTCCCTTGGGTGGACTGGCTCAGAGTCGTACCTTCCATCCCCCACCCCTGTTCTCACCCACCCCCAGACAGCCCACCTCCTCCTGGAAGGACTCTGGCCAGGGCTGGGGACACCTACGCTGGCCTCGGCACCCACAGACTCCTTGTCACAGGAGAGGAGGGACTGGGCAGAGCAGGGGCTCATGGAGATTGTCCCAGGCCCCAGGGGTGCGTAGATGCTAGGGCAGGAGCTGGGGTGCCCGGCCTGGTCCCTAGCTGTATGTGACGGCAGGAACTTGCTGCTCCCCGATGGCGTGCCCGCCGAACGCCAGTGGGCCCGCTTCTACGTGAAGATCTACCGAGCAGAGGGGCTGCCCCGGATGAACACCAGCCTCATGGCCAACGTGAAGAAGGCGTTCATTGGGGAGAACAAGGACCTGGTTGACCCCTATGTGCAAGTCTTCTTTGCTGGCCAGAAGGTACTGGGGTACAGAGTGCAGGGGCTGGGGTTTGGGGTGACGGGCATCAGATAGATGTGGGAGCCTAGGGGCTGACATGAGGCCAAATCAGAAGCCAGGAGACTGGCCTGAGAAGGGAGGAGAGTGAGAGATGAGGGCGCGCCAACTGAGAGGGGCAGGGGGCGGGGGGACTGGGAACTGTCTCAGCATGGACAGGCCTTAGGGAACCCTCCCCACCTCTGGGTCCTGGAGACCAAGAACTGAGGGGGAGCATCGAATGGAAGGAGAGTCTGAGAGGCTGGGGTGGGGAAGAGTGGAGGAGATAAGTACACACCATCTACATATACACACATGCACACACACATCACATATACGTACACACACAAACATGCATACACACACCACACACATATGCACACATTAGTAAGCACATACACGCATGCTCACACACAAACCCTATCGCTCACTCCCTCGCACAGGGCAAGACCTCGGTGCAGAAGAACAGCTACGAGCCGCTGTGGAATGAGCAGGTCGTCTTCACGGACCTGTTCCCCCCGCTCTGCAAACGCATGAAGGTGCAGATCCGCGACTCGGACAAGGTCAACGACGTGGCCATCGGCACCCATTTCATTGACCTGCGCAAGATCTCCAACGATGGGGACAAAGGTCAGCAGTGGCAGACGGAGGGGGGGGGTCCTGAAGGAAGGAGTAAATGAATGAGACCCCCCTTCAACCACCACCATCTTGCACCCCGGCCTGGAAGGTGCTGGGCACGGCGAGGGCATGGCAGCGGCTCCCACCTCAAGAAAGTCATGGCTAGGTCTGCAGAGCTGACTGGGCCTGCCGGAGCCCGGCTGCCTGGACTCGAACCCCAGCTCTGACAACGAGTCCCTGTGACCTGTGTACTATTCCCATCTGTAAAATGAAAATAACAATTATACATGTGTGTATATGCATGCATATCACATATAGATGTGCCCTATTGCCATAGTACCTATCTATAGACTTGTGGGCACAGACCCCTCCTACAGCCCAGGGGGCATGCTGGGTACCAGGGATACAGCGCGAGAGAAGCAGCCATTCCTGTCCTCACAGCGCTCACTGGGCTTAGGGGATGGATGTGTTCCCAAATGCTCGCAACCGAAGGATGGGGTCCTCAGCTCAGCAATCGGGAGGTGCAGGCTGGGACCCCCCAGAAGAGGCCCCTCTAACGCTTGCGGGCCCTGAGGTGTAACACAGGCCACTCCTCCCTCTCCGGCTCACAGGCTTCCTGCCCACGCTGGGCCCCGCCTGGGTGAACATGTACGGCTCCACACGCAACTACACGCTGCTGGACGAGCACCAGGACCTGAACGAGGGCCTGGGTGAGGGCGTGTCCTTCCGTGCCCGCCTCATGCTGGGCCTGGCGGTGGAGATCCTGGACACCTCCAACCCCGAGCTCACCAGCTCCACGGAGGTGCAGGTGGAGCAGGCCACGCCTGTGTCGGAGGTGAGGCCCCAGGAGGCTGTGCTGTCCTCCCTCCAGGTCCCGCAGCTCAGCCCCCTTCCCGCCATGGCAGCCTGGGCCCGGGCTCTGCCTGGGCAAAAGGAATTGGGCCTTCGGTCCTCCAGGGTCTGGGTGGGATGTGCCCACCAGCAGCCCCAGGACCTGTGGGAGGAGGCCTGGCCCAGCCCAGCATCCCCGTGAAGCTAACGATGGCTTCACCCACCTTCCCCACAGAGCTGCACGGGGAAAATCGAAGAATTCTTTTTATTCGGAGCCTTTCTGGAAGCCTCAATGATCGACCGGAAAAACGGAGAAAAGCCAGTTACCTTTGAGGTCACCATAGGTGAGTGCTTGGCCTCCGAGGGGACTTCAGGCCCCAGGCTTCTGGGTGGTCACTGCTAACCCTGCACCACAGCCCTGGTGGGAGGGAAACCGTGACCACTTTCCTCCGTGTGTCTTCCAGCGTGCACACTGCACACAGCGCATGCCCATGGGGCATACAACACAGCACATGCCCGTGGGGCACACAGAACATTCCCGTGGGGCACACAGAACATTCCCGTGGGGCACACAGCACATGCCCGTGGGGCACACAGAACATTCCCGTGGGGCACACAGCACATGCCCGTGGGGCACACAGCACATTCCCGTGGGGCACACAGAACATTCCCGTGGGGCACACAGCACATGCCCGTGGGGCACACAGAACATTCCCGTGGGGCACACAGCACATGCCCGTGGGGCACACAGCACATGCCCGTGGGGCACACAGAACATGCCCGTGGGGCACACAGAACATGCCCGTGGTGCACACAGAACATTCCCGTGGGGCACACAGCACATGCCCGTGGGGCACACAGAACATGCACGTGGGGCACACAGCACATGCCCGTGGTGCACACAGAACATGCCCGTGGGGCACACAGCACATGCCCGTGGTGCACACAGAACATGCCCGTGGGGCACACAGAACATGCCCGTGGGGCACACAGAACATGCCCGTGGTGCACACAGCACATGCCCGTGGGGCACACA